CTTGGCTATCGAATTAGTTGCATATGTTAACCCCGTATGCAGCAAAAATGGTTTATTGCTACATAAGTAAGGGAAGTTGACGATTGAAAATGTGAAATCATTACGTTTATTTTATATCAACGCGTTGTTTTTATTTAACCAATTACGTCTTTTTCTGGTAAAATATCCAAATATGACACAGACCTGTCAAAATCTGTGATATCCTTCATTTCAAGCTCACTGGCATGGGATATATCAAATCGAGATCTGAATGGAATAATGGTATATAGCTATCGTTAATTGATAATAAGTCGCCGTTACACCTTTATGTCGAGTTGAAGACTGCAGCAAGTGTTCTCTTCCTTTTATGTATAAGATTTTGTATAAATTCTGCTTCATATGAATACAAAATACATCTGCTAATACCGGGTGCAGTTCTAAAGAACCAGTGGGAATTTCAACATATTGTTCGAAGACCCGGTCTCCAAACTCCATATAGACTTTGTCAATCAGAAACTCAAGCATCTAATATTAACTTCAGAGTCAGTTTATGAACAATCAGAATGATTTTTACCATATAATTTTGCAAATGACCGATTATTTGTTTGGTACAAATTTTACTCCAAATCGTTTGATACCTTATGAAACATATAGAACATATAAAATTGTATTCATAAACAGATTTAATTCTTTTCTCAGACTTGTCCCCGGTAATAGCGCGGTGTTTTGTACTTATTTTCAACGGATAATTAAAAGTATTTCGTAGGTGTGTCTATCGAGAAACATTCATAAAATGCATGTTAACATGAATGCGTTTGATTTCTGACAAAAAATGCATATTTATTTTCTGTGTTGCAGGTGACCTTTAATTTAAAATAATTTGTTCATCTAGTACACCTGTGGATGTATACATTTACATAATTAATGTGCGATCATATATCAGGCAGGAAAAAATATAATTTGGCGATTTTATGACAAGTTGTATTCAATCAATCGCCCAGTTTATTATTTGTATCAGATATATACTGATCACAGCTGATGCCATTACAGCATTTTAATTAATTTGCTTTGTAAATGCCTTTGTGCTAAAAATCGACCAGCTTATGTATGAGCAATGGTCAATGCGCAATTATTGATAAAAAGAAGTTTAAAATGAAACTGTAATTTATCATTCAACATATACCTTTCTTGCAGGGTACTAAACAATTTATTTGTATGACAACATTGACCTGATGTAACCTAAAAATAAACTATTTAAGAACTACAGTTACTTAAAAAATACCTAGGTTTGTATTCCACGATATTTCAGTTTGAAGTGCATACCCTGCACTGCTTGGGAATACTTTTCAATTTATGATTCTATAATCATTAATAAAACAGAAAACTCAATTACCGATGTCTTAATTTCGACCATATGTAAAGTTTGTATCATATGATTTTTTTTTAATTTAATGTAAGGAGTACAATAAAACTGGTTTTTAATTACCAACCTTCTTAAACTACTGTAAACGTATTACATTTGGCTGTGTATTCTTTTTAGCGGCTTTGGTGGATCGCAGCAACTGCTAATTCAAGTACATAGCTAAATGTCTTGCATGTATACACATAAATAAGAATATGAAGAAATGAAGAAGTCAATTTCCGCCAAATATCGTACACGCTAAATATAATACATTTACAGTATCTTTACTAAAAAAAATATATTGAATAAAAATCTTTGATACTATTTAATGTTCTTAATACCATGTTTATCAACAAATTACATTCAAATATCAGTTTTCATAATTTCACACATATTATATACTCGTATATTATAATTTGGAAATAATCATGTTTTAAGGTCTTGAAATTACAAAACACTTGCAGTATAAATGAATAAAATTTACAAAACGAAATAGGCCTACTGATTTACAAACTAAAAATGGGCTATTGTGTGTTATAATTTTTAAAACAATGTTGAATAAAATACATATCAGGATGTCAGGAGTGCAACATAATTATGTCATAAATGAAACTTCAAAATCAAGTAATGTTCCTAAGAAATCTTGTATATCAAAATTCTTTTGGGTTATATTTAAAGAATCATATGGAGATAACGAACAGTATTCAAGATCAAAGTCCATAAAACAATACAAAGTAGGAGCAGAACAAACACGCATTCCAAAACATTAGACTTGGGATCATGTGCCATAGAGAAGTTAGCATTCCCTGCCGACCGGTCACACCCGTCGTGTGCTCCTTGTCATGTTTAGGGAACCACGGAAAAATCCGTCCCAAACTCTGTGTGCAAACAAAAGACTAACAATTAGCATGAAATTAGACCTCAGTCAGCATTTGACTCAGAGATAAATTGTATTTGCTGACAATGTCATTGTATCGAACATAGAACTTACGAAATGATGACTTTAAACGAGACTGCTGAAATTCTTGTGTCAACTTGTCAGTAATTTACTTCGTTTTAGAAATTGTTCATACATAGAGCATGCTCTTGCGTATCGAATCAACTAAGATAGAAAAACTCCGTATGGGGGTGATGAACGTATATTGCTGCTTCAGTAAGGGAAGCTGACGATAGAAAAGTTAAAATCATCACATATATCACAGAGCTTGGTTGTCAGATTACCTTTAACGTCTTTTTAAAGTATAATATCTAAAAATGAAACAAAAGTGTCAGACTCTGTGGTGTCTTTTATTTCAAGCTCACCAGGATATATCGTATCGACGAAGTGAATTGACAATACGTTGTCGATATATATCTTAATGTTGAGTTGTCAGCAAGTGTTTTCTTCTTTTCGCGCATATGATTTTGCAAAAATTCTGCTTATAATGAATACAAAAATAGGTCTGCTAATAGCGGGGCGCAATCTGTACCCATGGGAATTCCAATAGATTGTAAGAAGACCTGGTCTCCAAAAACAACATAGATATTTTCATTCAGAAATCCAAGCATTTTTTATGTCAACTTCAGAGTACTTGTGAGTACAATCAAAATTGTTTTTAACAAAACAATTTTGCAAATGACCAATGACAAGGTAAGTAAATTTCCGATTTCCATTTTTATCGAAATAGCAGCTGTCGATGATATCAAAAAGTCTGGACTTTAATTTATCGTGGTTGTGTATAAATTTGAAAAGTTGTAAGTTTTTAAGCTGTTGATTTTTGTAAAATCTTGTGATTTCAAATTGTCCAAAAGTTCTTTGGAATTTTTAAGTATCCAACTCCACTTCTTGAATATACTTTTGGACAGTACACTTGAAGTTTCTCCTTCTATACTATTAATATCTTAGCGAGGAGTAAAGAAAGAGACTTGGATGAATATCTACTGGGACTGACTGAAGGTATACAATCCCTAATAGCAACATATTCAATGAAAATAAATACATACACTAGTATATCAGATGTGTAGGTGTTGAATACTTAGTATATTTATACACAATTCCAATTTATTGTTGTTAGCATGCCAAGGTGGGATGTGTCCTAATTTACGACCTTGAAATTTGGTAAAAGTTATCTTCCTCTACTTTTAATCAAAATTAATTTTAAAAAATCAATTTTACAACATTTTTCTCATTGTCATTTCATTTCTAATGTTTCAATGCATCTTTCCTCCGCAGTATCCAATGATATTCTTATTATTTGAATTTTTATTTCAATGAAAACGTTTTTCCGCATATATTTCAATGAAATCTTTGTAATTACTGCTTAGTTAATGATTTTTTTTAAAAACTTTCTCACGGGCAATTCTTTTCTACTATAAATTCTTTAATTTAATTTCAGAGTATTGTGTACTTGATGGACATTTAAGGGTAGAGAATTTAGTCCTGTTAGTGATGGAAATCCTTAAAAATTAATATTTGGGAAATTTTTGGGATACTAAAAAAAACTCCAATCACAATATAATTCCATAATAGATCTGCCAAATTAATAAAAAAAAACAAACTTTTACCGCATAGCTACCAATCTTAATCTCAATCAATATACAATGTAGATTTAATTTTTGCATTTTTAACTTGTTATTTCTTTTATCAGCTTAGAAATCCTTCAAATTTTAAGATTTAAAAATTAAAACAGAGTTAAGAATTTCAAAAATAAGAATCTCTTTATAAATTTAAAAAAAAAAAAACAGTATACCTTGCATAGAAATATAGAAATTACATTAAACGATTTTTCTACAAAATTTTCCCATACTGAGGCTTAAAACTACTAAAAAAAATAAACAATCTTAAAGGAAATTATCGCAATTCATCTATTTTGCAAAAATAAAACTTACATCTTCATTTAATCAAAGAAAACGTAAATGCTACACTTCTTGCAAAAGCCAATTTAATTAAGATTGAAAATATTTTGGTACTTTAATTTAAAAACGTTTAAGTAGAATTGGAAATGCTTGTTTCTTTGAATACAACTACTCGTTTGTGAAAATTTTCATTCCATAATGCACTATAACTTATTAGCCACAAACAAAAGTCGAGGTTCTTGTTTGTAAAATTTCAAGAAACGACCACTTTTACTTTATATACTGTGCATCCTAGCGTCCATAACATCTTTTTAGAGCAAACTTAAAATTGAAACGCATTTTTTCAATCTTAATTATTTTTTTATTTTTATCAAATGTATTCATTTTTTTTCAAATGTATTTAAGTCAAACATATTCTAACTGTGGAATAAATTACATGTTATTATTTAGTGAGCCTACAAACAGTTAAGTAAAAATGTAAACACGTGTTCTACATACGTAGAATCGAGGAAATTTTCGGTGAATCCCCTCAAATGTCCACGAAGCCGCGCGAGAATTCAAGTGTGTAACAAATGAAGTTTAAACAACTTTTATCGTCTCTTTATCATTGTTGAGGCGCGTGTTTTATGGCTATGTGCATATTTACATTCTAACGTTAGCTTTCATTTTTATAAAATAAACCCTATATTGTTTAAATTTTGTCGATTAATTATTTTCCTTTATCATAAAATGGTCGGGATCGGTCCTGTTAAATAAGTATATATGGGGAACATATGGGGATTCACCGGAAATTTCCGCGCGTTATTTTGAATACTGCTTTTTCAGCATATTGATGGTATATTATTTATCTATCAGAATAATGCATTAAGATTGTCATATTTGGTAAGTAATAAAATATGTAGAAAAACGTGCATGCAATCACATGGTTGCAATTTTAGATAATGCATGGGGTCTAATGGTTGCATTATTTGATTATTATTTTCATTATAATAGATGGGATCTGGCGGATGTGAAGATGTGAAAAATGTAGCATATTGTTCCTGAATTTTATCAGTAAATACAAGTTAGCAGGGGTTGACACGCTCGGAAAAGAGCGAATAGTTGTTTCATACTATAAAACAAGTTGATAGAAATAAGTTATATTTAAAAATGACATTGTTATTTGTACATACTTTTATTCACAAAAAGGGTCCTGATGAACACACGCTTAATTCATGATATTAATTTAGAAAAAAAAAAGAGTGAGAAAGGAAAGGTAAAAATGAAAATGGTATCGAGTAGATATTGACAAAATTCACATACAACTGCTTTAAATTCATGCACTGCTTCAAATATGTGAATATCGTATTGAGTCCATGACCACTTTCATATTTTGAGACACGTACTTCTCTAGACATCTTTTTTTCAATTCTAGATGTATTTTAGATTTTGTTTATTTGTTTTCGTTTTTGTAATGTTCATATTGTTGAAATTAAGAATTCAGTCCAACAAGGAAAATTATTTTAAATCTGATTTTAAAAAAATGCTTAAATTAATGTGATAATACGATAGCCTTTTAAAATTTGTCTTAACTTTTTTATAGCATTTTTTTAAAAATATAATAGAATGGAATTTAAAGGTATGCAATAGCAATTACAATTAAACTTTGAACATGTTATTAAGGTAGAATTTAGTGTTTTGTGGGTTAATTAAACATCACCAGTTAAGGTCTACTAATTTAACGCGAAGTAAAATAATGAAGTCTTGAATTCCTGATATTTTAGAGATATCTTTCATACAAAATTCATTGAAAAAAGAAAATAGGTTTTTCATAAGAAGGGAGATAAAAAATTCAATGTTGTAAATATGTTTATTACATTTTCATACAGAATACAAAGGAGAAAATGTATGCAATAGAAACACAAGTATTTTAATTAACAAAAGAATCCAAGTTAAAATTCGTTTCGATTAAGTAATTTAAATTGTTCAAGTCTTTTCACCTCATCAAATTCATTTATTAGCAAAAAAATGTTAAAGTTTGCTTATCATATGTAAGTAAACATAGCTTTTAGCAACATTGTCCTTGTTGCTCAAAATAGTATTATTTTCTAAACTTACCATTATTGGTGTGTAAATAGGAAATATTTTTCCTCAGAACGCATGCTCCAGGAAAACACTTCATATAATATGCAACCTCTTCTTGTACCAGGAAGCTATAAAATCTGCCACAGTGTTACTTTTTCTTCTAAACTACGGTATTCATTCATTATAACAATAGTAATACTATTAAAACCTTACTGTAATCCAACTTTTATTCGCGGCGACTTCATTTCGTGATTAACCGGGGATAAACTACTTCGCGACGATCAATTTTCGCGATCAAGCCTTTTTGGATCTGATGTTAATAGAAAAAGAGATTTTAAGAAGCAGTATCGATCGCGACGAGACGAGAAATATTTGCGATGATGATGCTCTCGTGAACCTCGCAAAAATTTCTCGCACGCGAATAAAAGTTATTTTACAGTATTTTAAACAGTCATAGATTAGATGCAGTACTAATAATGATAATATTAAACTCCTAGCTTTAATGCATCACATAACAAAGATGACTGTAAAAAATAATATACAAATATTTTGAGTTTTAATTATGCACAGCCAAATTATAAGTTGAGCAAATAAATGTTAAAATTGTTTTGAATCTGCAATGTTATTTGTTGACAAGATGTTGTTCCATATAACTTACTAACTGAGCTGATATTCGGTAGTAAATTTCGTTCCTATATACGATTTCATGTCTGTACACGAAAACGAAAGTTGAAAGGAATTTATTAGTATAATATACTGCAATTGATAAATATATAATGCGATGATAAACATTATAAAGCAACCACATACAGCACAGTTCACCCATGTCATTATTTCTTTATTGAAAGAAAAATTTTGACTGAAGTTTATTTACTTTTTTTTAAGGTCTTCCGTTTCAGACGGAAGACCTTATAGTGATTCTACTGTTTTTTCTTATTCTTATTATTATTTTTTTCCCCAAATCTTGTCGGCAGGATTTCTCAGAGATGGCTGGACGAATTTTCCTGAAATTTTCAGGGATGATAGAAAATGAAAATACCCCGAGACGTTTTTTTCATTTTTAGAAAATTCACTTCCGGTCGTCAGATATGTCCGATTTCCGCTTTTTTCAAAAATATTTAATCCGAGTGAGATCTCAGAAACGGTAAGGTATTAAGGCACCAAACTTACAGGAATGATAGATCTTGATAAGTAGGCAAATCCATTTGGGTTAAGATTGTCCGCCGTCACTTCCGGTCGTCACAGGAAGTGTTCATAAATATCGAAAATTTCAACTTCTCTTTTTTGAAATTTTTTTGGCATCACAATATAGCATTTTACTTGTAGTAATGAAATGTGTCAGTTCCACCGGAAACAAAAACGGCAACTTCCGGTTATAAGAGAGAAACTACATAATTTGAGTATTTTTCTTTCCCATAAATATTTTTTATAGATAAAGTATTTGAAATGATTTTTGGATATGTTATTCAGACTGCAAATGTCTACAGTAACCTTAAATATCTTTTCAAAATTCACTTCCGGTCGCGTGATTTCCTGTCCTCAAAATGAGAACTTATCATAGAGAGACCTCGTAAACGGTAAGAGATGAAGACACCAAACTTATAGAAATGGTAGATCTTGATGAGAAGGCAAAACTATGTGGGTTTAGATTGTCCGCCGTCACTTCCGGTCGTCACAGGAAGTAGTTAAAGAAATCGAAAGTTTCAACTTTTCTTTTATGGAAAGTTTATTGCATCACCTGATAGCATCTTATTTCTAGTTTCAAAATATATCAGACCCACTGGAAACAAAAACGACAACTTCCGGTTATAAGAGAAAAACTACATAATTTGACTATTTTCTTTCCAATATATATTATTTATATATAAAGTGTGTGTAACGGTTTTTGGGTATGTTATTCAGATTTAATATATCTACAGTTACCTCAAATATTTCTATAAAATTTACTTCCAGTCGCGTGATTTTCTGTCCTAAAACGAAGAAGTTATCATAGCTAGATTTCGTAAACGGTAAGAGATTAAGACACCAAAGGAATGGGAATGGTAGATCATGCTGCGTAGAGAAATCGATTTGAGTTAACATTGTCCGCAGTCACTTCCGGTTGTCACATTATTTGATTAAATATATCAAAAAATTCAACTTTTCTTTGTGAAATCTTTCTTTATATTACATTATAGCATCTTATTTGTTATTTCGAAATATGTCAGTCCCAGTAGAAACAAAAAACGACAACTTCCGGTTATGAGAGAAAAAAACTGCATAAATTGAGTATCATGCTATCCCAGAAATATCTTTTATAAAAAGAGTATTTGAAATGATTTTAGGACATGTTATTCAGACTGCAAAAGTCTAAAGTAACGTAAAATATCTTTTTTAAAATTTACTCGTGGTCACGTGATTTCTTGTCCTCCAAACGAGAAGTTAACATTACGAGATTTCTTAAAATGTAACAGACCAAGGCACTAAACTTGTGAAGATTGGGTAACAGATATAGGGTAAAATGCGTCCTCTGTCACTTCCGGACATCACAGGAAGTGCTAAAACATTGAAAATGATTTTTTATAAATGTTATTAAGACTATAATTGTCTAAAGTTACGTCAAGAATTTTAGTTAGTTATACCTCCGGCCGTTTGTTTTCCTGTAATCATTGTAAATATTATATGCCTTTTTTAACATAGATAAAAGCTCATTCATACAGATAAATAGAGGAGAACGGAAGACCTTTTTTGTTGCTGTAGCAACAAGAGTTTCTAGTTTTGTATTTATTATTATTTTTTTTTTTTTTGCATTATACATGTTATACATGTTAAATTTTAACTTTTTTTATTTTGTGTCATTTGTAAAACATTAATATCTATTGTTTTCCTTTAACTACTACTCATTTCAAATCTTTGAATTCGAGAATATGAGAGTTTTGGGCTTTGTGTAATTAAGACATGTTGAGCAACTAATTGCATCTAACCTGTTGTATCGATTCAAGTTTCAGGAGGAACTTCTCTAGCTTGGCCACTTTATGTGTTAATTATCTCAATACTGCAAATATCTTCAATTCGATTAATTTGCAAATACTTCACCAAATAAAAATTATGTGAAAAAAGATAATTTTAAGTACCTTGCAATATCTTATTTAAAAGAACCTAGAACATGTAGATGGGAACCTGTTGATGTTGAAATTTCATTCTATTTCTAGATTTCGTCGTTGGTTCCCTGAAAAGAGGGGTTTAAAGATGGAGGAGAGGGAAAGGGGTGTATTGAGGAAGAGTAGGAGCATATTTACACGTGACCTCGTGGATCTGGACACAGTATGTGACCGACTTTATCAGAGAGAGGTCCTCAGTGAAGGAATGAAGAATGATATCTTGGTAAATAATATCTAATGTTGACCTCAGATGGAGTATTAGTAAATATCTAATGTTGACCTCACAAGGAGTACTGATAAATATCTAATGTTGTCCTCAGATGGAATATTAGTAAATATCTAATGTTGACCTCACAAGGAGTACTGATAAATATCTACTGTTGTCCTCAGATGGAATATTAGTAAATATCTAATGTTGTCATCAGATGGAGTACTGGTAAATATCTAATGTTGACCTCAGATGGAGTATTAGTAAATATCTAATGTTGTCCTCACAAGGAGTACTGGTAAATATCCAATGTTGTCTTCAGATGAAGTATTGGTAAATATCTAATGTTGACATAGATGGAGTATGGGTATATATCTAATCTTGTCCCCAGATGGAGTACTGGTAAATATCCAATGTTGTCCTCAGATGGAGTATTGGTAAATATCTAATGTTGTCCTCAGAAGGAGTATTGGACTAAATCAAAAGTTGTATTTGCTAAGGTCATTGTATCGACCATAGAACTTACGCAATGATTACTTTAAACGAGGCTGCTGATATTCTTGTTTCTTTAACTTGTTTGTCAATAATTTACCTCGTTTTAGAATTCTTCATACGTAAAGCATGATCTTGCGTATGGAATCAACTAATATATATAAACTCCGTAGGCAAGGGATGAAGGTATATTGCTGCATCAGTAAGGAAAGTTGACGATTGCAAAGTAAAAGTCGTCAAGTTTATCATAGTAGAGCATGGTTGTTTGATTACCATTAACGTCTTTTTCAAGTAAAATGCCCAAATCTGAAACAGATGTATTGGACTCTGTGGTATTTAAATTTTTATCTCAAACTCATCAGGATATATGGTACCGACATAAGAATGAAAATTACCATTGTTAATTGACAATATGCCTTCAATGTACAGTGTGTATCTTAATGTCGAGTTAAAGACAAAACTCATCAGGATATATGGTACCGACATAAGAATGAAAATTACCATTGTTAATTGACAATATGCCTTCGATGTACAGTGTGTATCTTAATGTCGAGTTGAAGACCACAGCAAGTGTTATCTTCTTTTCACATAATATTTTTTAGACAAATCATGCTTTGTATGAATACAAAAAAGGTCTGCTAGTAACGGGGCGCATTTGGTACCCATGAGAAATCCAATAGATTGTTGGAAGACCTGGTCTCCAAAAACAACATAGATATTGTCAATCAGAGACTCTAGCATCTTTTTGATGTCAACTTCAGAGTACTTGTGTGTATCAGAATGTTTTTAACAGAATAATTTTGCAACTGACCAATGACAAGATACGTACTCGTAAGTACGTTTGCGAGTTCTTTTTTTAAAATTATTATTGAAAAAGCAGCTGTCAATAACATCAAAAAGCCTTTAAAGGACACCTTTTCTCTTTTCAATGCTTCATATGAATATTTGAAATAGCCTGCTAATAAAGGCATGTAATTTGCATTCCAACAGATTGTTTTAAAACTTTATCTCCAAAAGATTGTCCAAGATATTGATTGTCAATTTTAAAGTACTTTTGTGTACAATCAAACAAATGCAAAGGTTTGTTGCATTTTTGTCAAAGATACGTACTCGTAAGTACGTTTGCGAGTTCTTTTTTAGGTCACCTGAGTAAACTCAAGTGACCTATTGCTATCCGTTTTCGTCCGTCGTCGTTAGTCGTGCGTCGTTTGTTAACATTTGAACATTTTCAGCTTCTTCTCTGCAACCACTGAACTAATTTCAACCAAATTTGGCACAAAGCATCTATGGGTAAAGGGGAACAAAAATTGTGAATTTCATGATCCCTGCCCCCCTGGGGCCTGAGGGGTGGGGCCAAAACTACTAAAATTAATGCAATCTTTAAAAATCTTCTTCTTTACTCCTGGACATCAAGCAGTCAAACTGTTTGCATGATTGTAATCAGCATTGAGTCCTCTACCAAAATTGTAAAATTCATGGCCCTGGGGTCAGGGGTTCTAGTGCTAGGGCGGGGCTAAATAAGTATATAGTGAAAATGCATTATTTCTTTGAAAATCTTCTTCTCTGCTCCTGGGTATTAAATAAACCAACTAAGTACATAGTTATGATGAGCAAGAGTGCCTCTACCAAAATTGTGAATTTTATGGCCCCAGGGTCAGGGGTTCTGGTGTTAGGGTGGGGCTCTATTGATTATATATAGTGAAAATACTGGATTTCTTTGAAAATCTTCTTCTCTGCCCCTGGGTATTAAATAAACTAACTAAGTGCATAGTTATGATGTGCAAGAGTGTCTCTACCAAAACTGTGAATTTTATGGCCCCAGGGTCAAGGGTTCTGGTGTAAAGGGGGGGGGGCTCTATTGATGATATAGTGAAAATACATGAATTCTTTGAAAATCTTCTTCTCTGCTCCTAGGTATTAAATAAACTAAGTGCATAGTTATGATGAGCAAGAGTATCTCAACCAAAATTGTGAATTTTTTGGCCCCAGGATCAAGGGTTATGGTGTGTGTGTGTGTGTGGGGGGGGGGGGGGCTCAATTGCTTATATAGTGTAAAAACATGAATTCATAGTAAAATCTTCTTCTCTTCTCCTGGATATTAAATAAACTAAGTGCATAGTTATGATGAACAAGAGTGCTTCTACCAAAATTGAGAATTTTATGGTCCCAGGGTCAGGGGTTCTGGTGTTAGGGTGGGGCCCTCTTAATTGTGTAGTGAAAATACACGAATTCTCTGAAAATCTTCTCTGCTCCGAGAAATTAAATTAACTAGTAAGTACATAGTTATGATGAGCAAGAATGCCTCTTATAAAATTATGAATTTTATGGCCCCAGAGTCAGGGATTCTGGTGTTAGGGCGGGGCTCTATTGATTATATAGTGAAAATACATTAAATCTTTGAAAATTTTCTTCTCTATCTCTGGGTATGAAGCAGATGAACTACCTATATAGTTATGATGAGCAAGGGCCCTAATCTTCAAGAATTGTGAATTTCAAGGCCCCAGGGTCGGGGGGGGGGGGGCTCTACTCATACACTGAAAATGAATTAATTGTTTGAAATCTGCTCCTTTGTATTTATAAAACGTTTATTTATTTTTTGATAGGCAATTTTAAGGGTGCCTTTTTAAAATTTGTGCAATGTGTGGACCTAGGGTCAGGGGTTTATGTCACAGTGTTAGGGGCACTACTGATTATTGCTGAATATTACTGATTAGTTGGAATGCATTTTTGTTCCCCTACCCTGCGTATGGATATTCAGTAACCAAGCTAAGCAACTGCTGAGTGTATTGTTATGATGATCAATGGTGCCTCTTTCAAAATTGTGAATGCCATTAGCATCTGGCTTAAAACATGAATCAAATTCAATAACTGGAAAGTTGTTGCATAATGCTCAGGTGACCTATAAGGCCCGTGGGCCTCTTGTTTATAATTATTATTGAAAAACAGCTGTCAATGACATCAAAAAGCCTTTAAAGGAGACCTTTTCTCTTTCCAATGCTTCATATGAATATTTGAAATAGCCTGCTAATAAAGGCATGTAATTTGCATTCCAACAGATTGTTTTAAAACTTTATCTCCAAAAGATTGTCCAAGATATTGATTGTCAATTTTAAAGTACTTTTGTGTACAATCAAACAAATGCAAAGGTTTGTTGCATTTTTGTCAAAAAAGCAGCTTTCAATATTGTCAAAAAGTCTGGACTTTAACTTATCAATCGAAATGGTTGTATATGAAGTTTTCATTCATGATTTAATTGAATTAATTGATCATGAAAGGAGTTTGTCTCTCATCTAATTTAATATAAAATCGTAAAAATTTATTCAGTTGAAAAAATGGGAAATGGGGGGTTAATAAATCTTGCCTATCTGATATATAATTTTATTGCAAATGCCAAAAAAGCACACTTAGAAATCTGCACTTTTATACCTTTTCCATTTAAATGTCTTCAGTTGTGCTTTCTATATGCCCCTGGATCGGAAGATAACGGGGGCATGTTGTTTTTGTGATGTCTGTTTGTTTGTCTGTCTGTTGTCAATTTTAATCAAGCTCATAACTATTGCGCTGTCAAGGGTATAGATGTATACCACTTCATTCTACCTCCCACTCCAGAATTGTGTTAAGGTACTAGTATGTCACTCGTCAGCTTTTTAGAAAAGTTCACGCAGAATTGAACCTATTTCTTCAAGACTATTCATTAAAATTCAATTTTTATAACATTTTGATTCAACAATGTTAATGTTTTTACATTCAACGAAAAAACTGCTCAAAAACCTACAAAGAAGCCATCTTCGCTAGCCAAGGGTTTCTGATACGCTACTCTCCTCATAAACCCTTGGCCTACGGTGTTCATAGAAATCGGGATTATTTTCCAGTGTTCTGATTATATTTCAGTACACCCAGGTCGACCAATCAGCAATTGTTTTTTGTAAATGACAATATTTGCGTTCGGGATACATCTTCACTCTTTAATCTCGGAAATGAAAAACGCAAGTAAACAACGATCCGTAAGATAACATTCAATTCTATGAATAGCCATGGTGTCATCCAACATCTTCTAAATATGTGATTAAGAATCTATATTGAAGCTTCAGATTTGTTCTATAAATAATGAATAAACATAACTCAATTATTGCTTCTTAATCATTCTTGAAAAAACTTTGATTTAATTTTTTTTAACGCAAGTCTTTATTTCTGGCGATGACGCAATCTGTGCGTACCTGATAGATTCAAGATAACGTGACGGAGAACAATCCCGTCTTTTGACTTCACCGTATGCCAAGGGTTTACGAGGAGAGTAGCATATCAGAAACCTTGGCTAGCGAAGATGCAAAGAAGCAAGATTTCTAAGGGATTATTTCTTGTGGTGGAAGGATATTTAGCAGATAATTCTGCAAATCTGCACATTTATTATAACCCTCCCCTCCCCCCAACATGAAAGGTGCGGGGTATACTGTAATCGGTATGTCCGTCCGTCTAGCTGTACGTCCGTCCGTTTGTCTGTTACGCTTTGGGGTACCCATCTTTTATCCGCAACTCCTCTTATACCACTGAGTGAAATTTAATGAAACTTTCACAGAATGTTTATTACATATTGCCATTGTGCACCTCCTATTTTACTTTTTGATTCGATACATACTGTAAATGTATTATATTTGGCATGTACGATGTTTGGAGGAAATTGATTTTTGAACAGGTTAGCGTAGATTTGATTTAGCGTATCTATTCATTTTCGTATACATGAGTATATGTGCAAGACATTTAGCGTTGTACTTGAATTAGCGGACGTTTCTTTCCGCCAAAGGCGCTAAAAAGAATACACAGCCAAATGTAATACGTTTACAGTATTTTGGGTTTCCCGACCACAGCAAAACATGGACTTTGCCATTATTAGAAGCACGGGTTATCATTTAGTGAGCTAATTACTCGATACTTGTGACTGATCAGCACTTAAGTCGTGAAAGGCTTGATTTAATAAAATGCTTTATTGCCTATTCAGTTTTTAATACCCCAAGTATGTTACTTTTTGGGTGCAAAAAGGTCACACAATAATTTACTCGCATTTTGCAAGATATGCTCAATATTAAATATTATTCAAACTTTTTTACGTAAAATAAAATTGTATTTATTGCTATGGTTACATCTGATAAAATATCATAAAGGCTAAAGTAATGAACCAAAGAGTTTAAATTTAAGTGCAAAAATGTCAACTTCATTGTACCGTAGATCAGTAAGATGCACACCGACCCCCTAATTTCTCTGCAATTTTGAGTCACACTATTTGAGTACTTATCTAATACCGGGTATATACTTCTCAAAAAAATCCTTGATTTAACAAATTTCACGTGTGACATGCCTTAACATCGGGGACACATCTTGTTTTAAGCCGAAATTCAATTGTTAAAGTCTTGTCAGACAATTCCAAAACCATCAACAGCAACAGGATTAGGGCAAGAAGTGATGTTGATAACGGGAAATATTTTTGTTACTAGGAAGTTAAACGTATTGATCGTATTTCGATTATTTAGACAGGAAGTCTCCATTTTTTCTAAGCAGAGTAAAAAAGTTAAAATTACTTAGTTTTGTATAGTGGTCTTCCCATCATGATATGGTCTACCCACACTGCGCCTCAGATCAAATCTGTGACTTCAAACTAGCATACACATCAAGAGAAAGGAGCATACGCCACTGACAAAAGAGGTAAAGACAATACTTTTTTCCATCATAGACAACTGCTTATAAAAAATAGAAAATGGTAACTTGCCTGTATTGTCCCATCGTCGGAAAGCCAAAGGTGATCTCGTATATACTTATGATAAGTAAAGACGAGATCATCCGTGGGTTTCCTACGATGACATTGTCCTTGGTTATTCGAAAACATTTTGTCTAAAAAAAAATTAAAGCATTCTGATTCTATACATGGGTTCTCTGGTTTGATTTTAAAAATGCCGAAGATATTCATTAAAATTAAGGCTTTCGGACACCATGTTCTTCATTACCAATGTTGATGCTTATTTCCACAAATTGTGTCTTCAATGATGCTCATGCCGAACGTTGGAAATACGAAATATTTAATTTAAAAATGTTGAAGAGTTAACGAAGAGGATACCAAAGACTGTAGACAAATACGAAGAAGGGTCGGAGCTAAGCATAAGGAAAAGCATCCTTAATTATGCCATTAAACGGTAAAAACAACGTAGAGACTGACAGATACGTTTCATATTTGATGTTTCACTATAGAAAGACATTGATGGCAAACAAAGAACGTAACTTCTTTTGATAAAGGTGATGATTTCAACTTTTTCACATAAAAAACTTCCCTCCTAGTATATGGAGTTTTTGTTTCGTTTGCCCAGTGGAGACAGGGATCATACGGTGGGTGTGACTGGTCGACTGGTGATGCTTATTTCTTCATTACATTATATCCCACCTCTGCTGTTTTAAAGGGGCGTGTATGTTCTGCAGTTTCAATGGATTTTGATTTTGATTAGTGTTCGTTATCTCAATATTTCATCCCAATGATTCAGTACGGAAGAGCATGACGTGTTAATTTATTTAAAACTTACCAGGCTATTAACAAATAAGGAAATGATACATGGATATTATAAATCTCGATTTAAAGCTAACATATTGCAGTCTATAAAAAATATTCACATTTCATGATAGCCACCACCTCAATGATGTCTAGTTTTTAATTAAATTTAAAAAAAAAAAAAGCCTTTTAAATTTGTAATGTAAAAGAGATTTTAATGCGTTGATAAACTAATTGTGTAGTCTGAGAAGACCAGGGAAAACCAAGTGAGAAAACTTCTGGACATCATTCCAAAGCGAGGCAAAAGAGCATACGGGGCTTTCTTTGACGTTCTGGAGGAGACTTTTCAGCACAACCTCTCAGACATTCTCTAGTACGTAAATAGCCTTGCTTCATGCAAATCATTTTTATACCCCCCGCTTGAAAAGCGGGAGGGTATATAGTAATCGTTAATTCCGTCCGTCTGTACGTCTGTCCGTCTGTCCGTCCGTCCGTCCGTCCGTCTGTCCGTCCGTCCGTCTGTTACGCTTTGGGGTACCCATCTCTTATCCGCAACTCCTCTCATACCACTGAATGAAATTTGATGAAACTTTCACAGAATCTTTATTACATATTGCCATTGTGCACCTCCTATTTTACTTTTTGATCCGACACATATTTTGGGTTTCCCGGCCACAGGAAAACTTGGACTTTTTCACCAGTTATAACCATATGGGAGGCGGGGGGTATCATTTAGTGAGCTCATCGCTCACAGTACCTCTAGTTTTTTTATAAACTTTTATAAAACAAAAATTGGAAGATTGTGCACAGATAGTTTACCTTCAAGTCGCAAACAAATCAATATTTTTCTTTTGATTTAAATTAATTTAACTTTCAAATATGCAATTGAAGACTTTTAAACTGCAAAGAGTCAATTACTTAGTACTTTTCAATTAACAATAAAAAGATTCCTGAAAAAATAATCAACTTACATGATTGAATTTTGTAGTCCAGGGGGCAAGAAAGATTTAATTGAAAACAGGAAGTCTGAAAGGTTTCCTTTCATAAAGAGTGCGTCGGCGACAGTGGAACCAAACAGAGAAATTGTGAAACCCCCGCTGATGCGGAGTATGTCAGCAGAAGTTAGGCGAGAACCCGTGGAATCGATCAGCGAGTTTCAGGAACAGTCCTTTACGTGTGAGCTACCCCTGGAGGAAAAAGATTTCCAGAACTTATCCATTGTAGACGAAGAGTTCATCTTACCAGAGAGTAAGAATAAGTCTCTTAGGCACATTTATCCTAGCCATGCTTACAGGAATTCTGAACTTGTACTTTCATGAAGTTATTCCTGTCGACAAATGCCTCTTCGGAGCTTTTTTCATAGAATGATCTAAATTGTGTTCTATATTTGAAAGGGAAATGTGAATACTAATAGCTCAACGTTTCCCTTGTGAACTTTATCACTAGCTTACCTTAATGAATTCATATATGGTGTCCGAGATTTTAGAATTTGTTCTTATTGTGTCAGAATGGCCTTCAGAAACGGAGCATGCCCAGTCATTAAATTTCAAAGTCCACAGATCTCGAAGTTCATCAGCTCTTTCTAGCCTTAATGTGGTATGTATATTCCATTTCTTCTTCCCTTTTTCCACTTTGATAACTGTAGATAAAATCCGCCCATATTAACACGTATTCTTTTGACAGTCCCCTAAGTCGGAGGTCTATCCTATGGTGAAGAAACCTCGGGGAAGATTAGTCATCATCAACAACTTCAAATTTGGCAGACAGGAAGTGGACGTAGAGAGAATGGGGAGATCCCAACAAGATGCCACCAGTTTGGATTTGCTCTTCAAACAACTTCATTTCCAAACAAAACAACACAGCAATCTAACATTAGAGGTGCTTTATTATTTTTATCAATCATGTACTGGCCTTTTTGTGTCCCAAATATGAATAAATCTCAATGGATACCTCCAGTTATCCTTTTTAGCTCACCTGAGCCGAAGGCTCAAGTGAGCTTTTCTGATCACATTTTGTCCGTCGTCCGTCCGTCCGCCTGTCTGTCTAGCTGTCTGTCCGTCTGTAAACTTTTCACATTTTCGACTTCTTCTTAAGAACCACTGGGCCAATTTTGACCAAACTTGGTACAAAGCATCCTTGGGTGAAGGGGAATTTAAATTGTCAAAATGAAGGGCCAAGTCCCTTCATAAGGGGAGATAATCAAGAAAAGACAAAAATAGGGTGGGGTCATTAAAAAATCTTCTTCTCAAGAACCACTGGGTCAGAAAAGCTGAAACTTATGTGAAATCATCCTTGGGTAGTGTAAATTCTAAATTGTTAAAATCATGACCCCTGGGGGTTGGGCGGGGCCACGGTTGGGAATCAAAGTTTTACATAGAAATATATAGGAAAAATCTTTGAAAATCTTCTTCTCAAGAACCACTGGGCCAGAAAAGCTAAAACTTATGAGGAAGCATCCTGGGGTAGTGTAGTTTCTAAATTATTTAAATCATGACGCCCAGGGGTTGGGCGGGGCCACAATAGGGAATCAAAGTTTTACATAGAAATATATGGGAAAAATCTTTGAAAATCTTCTCAAGAACCACTGGGCCAGAAAATCTGAAACTTAAGTGGAAGCATCCTGGGGTAGTGTAGATTCTAAATTGTTAAAATCATGACCCCTAGGGGTTGGGCGGGGCCACAATGGGGAATCAAAGTTTTACACTGAAATACATGGAAAAAATCGTTGAAAATCTTCTCGAGAACCACTGGGCCAGAAAAGCTAAAACTTATGTGGAAGCATCCTGGGATAGTGTAGATTCTAAATTGTTAAAATCATGACCCCCCGAGGTTGGGCGGGGCCACAATGGGGAATCAAATTTTTACATAGAAATATATAGGAAAAATCTTCTTCTCAAGAACCACTGGGCCAGAAAAGCTGAAACTTATGTGGAAGCATCCCGGGGTAGTGTAGATTGATCATTCTAAATTGTTAAAATCATGACCCCCGTTGGTTGGTCAGGGCCACAATGGGGAATCAAAGTTTTACAATTGGGAGTCAAGGCATCCTATGGTAGTGTAGATTTCAAATTGTCTAAATTATGATCAGTGGTGTAGGATGTTGTCACAATATGTATAACAAGTGGGAAATCTGGTAAAGAACCGCAACGGAATGGTCAAAGCTTCTCAGGTGAGCGATGTGGCCCATGGGCCTCTTGTTTTTCTTCTTTTTTACCTCATGAAAAAATTTGAAAGTAAAATGTCTGCTTGGAATCCAAATTTTGATATCTCTCGGTAGAAACTTTCTGCCGTACTGGAGAAGGAGCGAACATGTGACCACGCCTCACTTGAGTGTTACGTAATGGTCGTTATGTCACGTGGTGACGGAGATCACATCTATGGTGTGAATGGTTATAAGATATGTATAGACACCATCATTTCAATGTTTGACGATGAACATTGCAGCAGTCTAAGAGGGATTCCGAAGATATTTATTTTCCAAGCATGTGATGATGGTTCGTACATCCAACATTAACTAAGAACTAACTATAGATACTATACGCATGCAGAGACGTAGCTATCATTGTTACGTGTCTGATGCATTTATCTTCAATGAAATACAAATTAATAGGTCTTTTCTTTTCAGCAAAATCCAAATCAGTGGATGAAATAAAAACGGCTACCGAGAACCTGACATCTATGGTATCTTCTTCAACAACGTCTGACCAAGCTGTGAACATGAGGGCCGACATGTTCGTTGTTAGGGCAACGCAAGATGGTAGATACGGTGTAGTCACGTTAATCTTAATATTAATTTGAACAAAAAGAATTTTAATGGAATTCATAATTTCAAAACCATCAATTTTTCAGTGGAAGTGGATTATCATGGCGTATTTGGCTCCAGATTTATACAATCTTTTGTATATCTTATGCGCAACTTAGCATTCAAAGAAGACTTCGAAGAAATTGTTAAAAAGGTATCCTAGAAAAAACCAAGGATCACAAAGATTCTTTTGACTTTGCTCTTATTGTCTTATTGTACTTATAATGTACCATTCACTATACATGTGTACCTCTAAAATGTTTACCATGTTTTGATTTACAGATAAATCTTCTGAATTCGGTCAGTGAGCCAGAGATAGTGGAATATGCCAGTTCATTTTCAAGAAAATTGTTTTTTAATCCTTGACCATTTACAAACTGAGACAGAGGATATGCTTTATGTATTTTATTGGAGTGAATGATTTGGTGTGTTGTGACTTCAATGAATTTTACGTCCATACAGACTATGCACATCACAGTTTTATACTACTAAGTGCAATATCATTTTCCTTTTATTTATAGGTATCTCTCAAACAGTATTTTACAATTAAATGAAATTGTAGCAAAAGATATTCAGAAACCCTGTGTATGCATTTTATATTTTGAATACATTCTTTAAAAAGGTTCGGAGAAAATATTTAACAGACTCAACAAGCTTAATTTCTTGCACTGTATTCACAGCAAATGCAAAAACACTTTTACATTTTAAGGGGGGTTATTGTGGCCATTTTTAAATCATTTTTATCTCCTTTAGAAGAAGAGCTCCATATAAAGATATACAAAAATGATCAAATTTTACAACTAAAATGTATGAAATTTTTCTTTGCCAAATGATAGTTGACAGCTTCAGATATCATACCTAAAAAATTAAGCTACATCTGGTGGTTAATTCATTACCCCCCTGCCTTCTTCAAATATAATACAGTGAATGAGAAAATAGGTGACATTACATAGGTAACCAACAATTAGTAAACCAGTCTCTATACCACTCAAATCAAAAGGACACCCACAGAGGCATGTTTATCTTATTGTAAACATAATTAATAACACAGAAAATGTGTGTAGTAAAGATAACCTTTCATACTGACATAAAAAACGAAATGTTTTATCAGCATCATCTGCACTGGGTACTAACATCCCATGTATTACAGCTCTGGCATTGCCTCCTTCAATGGATGTTTGCTCTAAAGTTCAGATTGCATTTTGGGGATGTTGAAGCAAAATTATTGTAAAATGCACATTTTCCCTTCCACCAAGGACCATATAAAGCAGTAGACAACTTTTGTGTAAAGAAATCCATGTAAATTCCTAATGGAAACCATCTTTCTGAAACACATTTGGAACAGAATTCAATACTGCTGATAAAGAGCCTGCTACTGTCCAAATATTCCCTCATCCACTACACAGAGTGACGTCAGAAGATTCCGGAAGTCCTCGGGGGTCCAGGGGGTAGTGCTGACAGGGACGGGGTGATGACTGCTACTCTGGGGGCTGAAGGGCAACAAAATAGGGGTGTGTACAAAATAATTTGATGAAATCAAATTATAAAAGCAATGGAATCTGTTTCAAAATAGGCCAATCAACAAAGACTTCAAATGGGAAATCAAAATGGTGTACAAAATAAAGGGAATCAAAAAAAAGACATTTTGAACTAATTTATATTTTGAAAATACAATAAGTATCAATTAACTTGGACTTCATCACTGTAACATGTCATTGATGTTTTAAATATTTTAGCAAAGATAACTTATTATTTTATGCATTACAATAGATATGTTTAAAGATTCAAAGAAACTGTTTATCTGAAATGGTCCAATTCATTTAGTCAATTGAGAATCTTTGTACAAGACCCTCTCATCAAGTTACAGCTACATCTGAACATCAACCTATAAAGTATTTGTGTAGCATCGTAACATATATATATAATGCACTTACTTGATAGATGAAGGATTGTTGAAGGTCACCAGTATATCTGAGGTAAATTTAGAGATACGAAAAAGACCAATGTGCATGTCTACTGTGTTTTTAGCTGCCTCATTGAATTTGGAGACATTCTGTTGTCCTAGCACATAATAGGCATTGTCACACCTAAATAAAAAACATTAAAAATTTCAATCTTTCTATGTAAACTAGAACTGTCCAATAGGGACAAATACCCCCCGCTGGGTTTTTCAGAGAAGGTGCCAATTCAAAAATACTTTATGGATCTAGAGGTGTTCACAATTACAAAAATTTGCAGTGAAATATAATTGCTCTTCATGTTTCTTAATGAATGAAACAAAGGTGCAACCAAATGAAACATCAATACTTATACAATGTAATTCCAGTGTAACATTATTTTTTTTATTTAATTTTTTTATTTCTGCATTAAAAAAATATATTGCAATTATGTATTATGTCACTCTGCAAACTGATTGTCGAAAAAAAAATCATATTATACAAAATCAAATTAATCTTGATAACTTTATATCAAATTCATTTGAAAATAAAGAGCTGGTCATCCAGTAATGAAGTGCTTTGACAGACAATAAATTACAATTAAGAGAATAAGAGAAGAGAGGTCTTTAATTCTTGTGCCCGATTCCCAGGAGATTACACATGGTTGATAATAAGATGCCTTAATGTTCAACTTCCCACACCAAACTCATTAATTTATCTTTAACTGGATGCATGTCCAGTCATTATTCCCAAGAGACAAATGAAATTACATTATCTTCTGTGCAATGTAAAAACTGTTTTTAACACTTGATGATGATTCTTTTTTTTATGTTTATATGAGTAGTTTTAAGCTGTAGTACTTTTGTACAGATATTCTAGATTCTATGTCTCAAACCTTATACATGAGCCCAAAATGAACAAGTCAATTAAAATAAAAAATAAAACCTGTAAAATGCAAAAAAATGAACAAAAAGAGTTGAAAATTCCAATTGCACACCTTCATATGGTATATAATAAGTGTACAAATTTTCAGATTAATCCTTGCAATAGTTTCTGAGAAACAGTTCGGACAAAACCACAAAATAAAAATGAAAAAAACACCTGTAAAATTCAGAATAATCATTGAATCAAGATGAAAATATCAGGTGCACAACTTCATATGGTGAATAATATTTGTACAAATTTTCAGACAAATCCTTCCAATAGTTTCTGAGTAATGGTCCGGACAAAATCTCGTCTACAGACAGACAGACAGACAGCTAGACGGACATGGTGATTCCAATATACCCCCCCTAAACTTCGTTTGCGGGGGGTATAATTATCATTATATCCTTTCTTACCAGATATCTGAAACTAAGAACCTGCAGGTTGATTTTATAGACATGCAGTTTGTGACTTACTGTGTCATTTTAAGATCGGTGTTAGGAATTTCCTCAATCTGTACAATAGCAGCATCTCCACTCTGCACGTCATTGTCAGAAGCCAGGTCACTAAAGTGGGTCCTGTAAAACAGGCATGACAATGAAAATCCTGAGAGTTCATACTAACAATAACACATTGTTACCTTTAAGGAGTACAGTTCAACACCATGGATCCATCCAAAATCAAAACTAAAAAGGGTCCAATTAAGAAATCTTTAAATAGCTCAGTGCACAGGTCTATTATAAACATGTACAATTTTATCTGAAAATTTAATATTTTTTATATCTCAGCTATAATACATGATTAAGACCATGTCTGTCTGAAAGCAACATCATTCCATCAGCTTTCTCCTCATAATTGTATATTTCAGAAACTCAAGGTTGATTGAGATATTCTGCTTAGTGACTGGTTAACTGACACAATTTTTTGCAGGAATACTGGTACATAAATACTGAGTTACTGATATTTTATTGCTGCGTTACACTTTATTGCTGAGTTATTGACACTTTATTGCTTAGTTACTGACACTTCATTGTTGAGTTACTGACACTTTATTGTTGAGTTACTGACACTTTATTGCTAAGTTACTGATATTTTTCTGTTGAGTTACTGACACTTTATTGTTGAGTTACTGACAATTTATTGTTGAGTTACTGACAATTTATTGTTGAGTTACTGACACTTTATTGTTGAGTTACTTACATTTAACTGTTGAGTTACTGACAATTTATTGCTGAGTTACTGACACTTTATTGTTGAGTTATTGACACTTTATTGTTGAGTTACTGACATTATATTGCTGGGTTACTGAAATTCACTTTATTGCTTGGTTACTGACATTTACTTTATTGTTAAGTTACTGACACTTTATTGATGAGTTACTGATATTTTTTGCTGGGTTACTGACATTATTTTATTGCTGAGTTACTGATATTTACTTTATTGCTGGGTTACAAACATTTTTATCGCTGTGTTACTGACATTTACTTTAATGCTGAGTTACTGACATTTTATTGTTAAGTTACTGACAATTTATTGCTGAGTTATTGACACTTTATTGTTGAGTTACTGACACTTTATTGTTGAGTTATTGATAATTTATTGCTGAGTTACTGACTCTTTATTGTTGAGTTACTGACTTTTATTGTTGAGTTACCAACACTTTATTGTTGAGTTACTGATAATTTATTGCTGAGTTACTGACACTTTATTGCTGGGTTACTGATATTTTATTGCTGGGTTATTGACACTTTATTGTTGAGTTACTGACACTTTACTGTTGAGTTACTGATACTTTATTGGTGAGTTACTGACACTTTATTGGTGAGTTACTGACACTTTATTGGTGAGTTACTGACTTTTATTGTTGAGTTACCGACACTTTATTGTTGAGTTACTGATAATTTTTTGCTGAGTTACTGACACTTTATTGCTGGGTTACTGATATTTTATTGCTGGGTTATTGACACTTTATTGTTGAGTTACTGACACTTTATTGTTGAGTTACTGACACTTTATTGGTGAGTTACTGACACTTTATTGTTGAGTTACTGACATTTTATTGTTGAGTTACTGACACTTTACTGAGTTATTGACACTTTATTGCTGAGTTACTGAAACTTTATTGTTGAGTTACTTACATTTAACTGTTGAGTTACTGACAATTTATTGCTGAGTTACTGACTTTTATTGTTGAGTTATTGACACTTTATTGTTGAGTTACTGACATTTTATTGCTGGGTTACTGAAATTCACTTTATTGCTTGGTTACTGACATTTACTTTATTGTTAAGTTACTGACACTTTATTGATGAGTTACTGATATTTTTTGCTGGGTTACTGACATTATTTTATTGCTGAGTTACTGATATTTACTTTATTGCTGGGTTACAAACATTTTTATCGCTGTGTTACTGACATTTACTTTAATGCTGAGTTACTGACATTTTATTGTTAAGTTACTGACAATTTATTGCTGAGTTATTGACACTTTATTGTTGAGTTACTGACACTGTATTGTTGAGTTACTGATAATTTATTGCTGAGTTACTGACACTTTATTGTTGAGTTACTGACTTTTATTGTTGAGTTACCAACACTTTATTGTTGAGTTACTGATAATTTATTGCTGAGTTACTGACACTTTATTGCTGGGTTACTGATATTTTATTGCTGGGTTATTGACACTTTATTGTTGAGTTACTGACACTTTACTGTTGAGTTACTGACACTTTATTGGTGAGTTACTGACACTTTATTGTTGAGTTACTGACTTTTATTGTTGAGTTACCGACACTTTATTGTTGAGTTACTGACACTTTATTGTTGAGTTACTGATAATTTATTGCTGAGTTACTGACACTTTATTGTTGAGTTACTGACTTTTATTGTTGAGTTACCAACACTTTATTGTTGAGTTACTGATAATTTATTGCTGAGTTACTGACACTTTATTGCTGGGTTACTGATATTTTATTGCTGGGTTATTGACACTTTATTGTTGAGTTACTGACACTTTACTGTTGAGTTACTGACACTTTATTGGTGAGTTACTGACACTTTATTGGTGAGTTACTGACACTTTATTGGTGAGTTACTGACTTTTATTGTTGAGTTACCGACACTTTATTGTTGAGTTACTGATAATTTTTTGCTGAGTTACTGACACTTTATTGCTGGGTTACTGATATTTTATTGCTGGGTTATTGACACTTTATTGTTGAGTTACTGACACTTTATTGTTGAGTTACTGACACTTTATTGGTGAGTTACTGACACTTTATTGTTGAGTTACTGACATTTTTTTGTTGAGTTACTGACACTTTACTGAGTTATTGACACTTTATTGCTGAGTTACTGAAACTTTATTGTTGAGTTACTTACATTTAACTGTTGAGTTACTGACAATTTATTGCTGAGTTACTGACTTTTATTGTTGAGTTATTGACACTTTATTGTTGAGTTACTGACATTTTATTGCTGGGTTACTGAAATTCACTTTATTGCTTGGTTACTGACATTTACTTTATTGTTAAGTTACTGACACTTTATTGATGAGTTACTGATATTTTTTGCTGGGTTACTGACATTATTTTATTGCTGAGTTACTGATATTTACTTTATTGCTGGGTTACAAACATTTTTATCGCTGTGTTACTGACATTTACTTTAATGCTGAGTTACTGACATTTTATTGTTAAGTTACTGACAATTTATTGCTGAGTTATTGACACTTTATTGTTGAGTTACTGACACTGTATTGTTGAGTTACTGATAATTTATTGCTGAGTTACTGACACTTTATTGTTGAGTTACTGACTTTTATTGTTGAGTTACCAACACTTTATTGTTGAGTTACTGATAATTTATTGCTGAGTTACTGACACTTTATTGCTGGGTTACTGATATTTTATTGCTGGGTTATTGACACTTTATTGTTGAGTTACTGACACTTTACTGTTGAGTTACTGACACTTTATTGGTGAGTTACTGACACTTTATTGTTGAGTTACTGACTTTTATTGTTGAGTTACCGACACTTTATTGTTGAGTTACTGACACTTTATTGTTGAGTTATTGATAATTTATTGCTGAGTTACTGACACTTTATTGTTGAGTTACTGACTTTTATTGTTGAGTTACCAACACTTTATTGTTGAGTTACTGATAATTTATTGCTGAGTTACTGACACTTTATTGCTGGGTTACTGATATTTTATTGCTGGGTTATTGACACTTTATTGTTGAGTTACTGACACTTTACTGTTGAGTTACTGATACTTTATTGGTGAGTTACTGACACTTTATTGGTGAGTTACTGACACTTTATTGGTGAGTTACTGACTTTTATTGTTGAGTTACCGACACTTTATTGTTGAGTTACTGATAATTTTTTGCTGAGTTACTGACACTTTATTGCTGGGTTACTGATATTTTATTGCTGGGTTATTGACACTTTATTGTTGAGTTACTGACACTTTATTGTTGAGTTACTGACACTTTATTGGTGAGTTACTGACACTTTATTGTTGAGTTACTGACATTTTATTGTTGAGTTACTGACACTTTACTGAGTTATTGACACTTTATTGCTGAGTTACTGAAACTTTATTGTTGAGTTACTTACATTTAACTGTTGAGTTACTGACAATTTATTGCTGAGTTACTGACTTTTATTGTTGAGTTATTGACACTTTATTGTTGAGTTACTGACATTTTATTGCTGGGTTACTGAAATTCACTTTATTGCTTGGTTACTGACATTTACTTTATTGTTAAGTTACTGACACTTTATTGATGAGTTACTGATATTTTTTGCTGGGTTACTGACATTATTTTATTGCTGAGTTACTGATATTTACTTTATTGCTGGGTTACAAACATTTTTATCGCTGTGTTACTGACATTTACTTTAATGCTGAGTTACTGACATTTTATTGTTAAGTTACTGACAATTTATTGCTGAGTTATTGACACTTTATTGTTGAGTTACTGACACTGTATTGTTGAGTTACTGATAATTTATTGCTGAGTTACTGACACTTTATTGTTGAGTTACTGACTTTTATTGTTGAGTTACCAACACTTTATTGTTGAGTTACTGATAATTTATTGCTGAGTTACTGACACTTTATTGCTGGGTTACTGATATTTTATTGCTGGGTTATTGACACTTTATTGTTGAGTTACTGACACTTTACTGTTGAGTTACTGACACTTTATTGGTGAGTTACTGACACTTTATTGGTGAGTTACTGACACTTTATTGTTGAGTTACTGACTTTTATTGTTGAGTTACCGACACTTTATTGTTGAGTTACTGACACTTTATTGGTGAGTTACTGACACTTTATTGTTGAGTTACTGACATTTTATTGTTGAGTTACTGATACTTTACTGAGTTATTGACACTTTATTGCTGAGTTACTGAAACTTTATTGTTGAGTTACTGTATTGCTGGGTTATTGACACTTTATTGTTGAGTTACTGACACTTTATTGCTGGGTTATTGACACTTTATTGCTTAGTTACTGACACTTTATTGTTGAGTTACTGATATTTTATTGCTGGGTTACTGACAGTATTTTATTGCTGAGTTACTGACATTTACTTTATTGCTGGGTTACAAACACTTTTTTCTGTTTTACTGACATTTACTTTATTGCTGAGTTACTGACATTTTATTGTTAAGTTACTGACAATTTATTGCTGAATTATTGACACTTTATTGTTGAGTTACTGGCACTTTATTGTTGAGTTACTGACAATTTATTGCTGAGTTACTGACACTTTATTGTTGAGTTACTGACTTTTATTGTTGAGTTATCAACACTTTATTGTTGAGTAACTGACATTTTATTGTTGAGTTACTGATATTTTATTGCTGGGTTATTGACACTTTATTGTTGAGTTATTGAAACTTTATTGTTGAGTTACTGACACTTTATTGCTGAATTATTGACATTTTATTGCTGGGTTACTGATACTTTATTGTTGAGTTACTGACTCTTTATTGTTGAGTTACTGACTCTTTATTGTTGAGTTACTGACTCTTTATTAAGTACTGTGTTACTGAAACTTTATCACTTAGATACTGAAATTTTAATGCTTTCTTACTGAAATTTACTTTATTGCCAAGTTACTTACATTTTATTGCTGGGTTACTGAAATTTACTTTTTTGCTGAGTTACTAACATTTCATTGCTGAGTTACTGGAACTTCATTTCTTGGTTACTGGTACTTTATTGTGGTTACTGACACTATACTGTTTGGTTACTTTTTACACTATATTACAGGTCTTCTGACACTTACTTAATTGCTTCTTCATCATCTTTGTCCACATACTCCAGGATCTCTATGATTATACTCTGGTCTGTGACTGGGTGAGCAAACACTTCCTGGTTATCAGGAATCTGGCGAATGTCACTAAATAATAAAGAATAGCAACATAATCTGATTTCTTGAAATGTCTTTGAAATATTAAAATACTGAAGATATCTGTGTATCTTCTTAGAAGTGTCCATTGTACAGTGTGGGCCTATGCAACTTATTGCCTAGTGCAGCTGCATGTTTATAAGAAAATGGTTGAGGGCCTCACGTCAGCAACAGTACCTGATCAAGTCATCAAATTCCGAAAACACAAAAGATAATATTTGTTTTAAAACTAATAAAGATTACAAGAGACATCTAATATTATAGAAAGCAGAATACTGTGTATATATAGTGTAAAACTGTGGAAATATCAAGCACTTACTCCTAACAAAATATTTTTTTTCTGTCCATACTGCAATTGATTTAAAAACATAACATATGGAAGAGGAATTATTCTGTGCCTGAAAGTTCTGTGCAATGACAATAATGCATCTGCCCCTTCCACCCATCTCCGCCCCCTTATAGATACAAAGTCCTTAAATATTCAGTGACATACACCTACAGATACTTGTAAAACAGGGAGCTGTGCAGAATGCAGTCTGGGGGTAAAAAATTAACTCAATTCAAAGAATGCTTTGTTTGCTTATATACATTACTCATTAGACTTATGTCCAATAAAAATTACTGTGCAAGTACAGGCATTTGCAAAGAGTGCCATAGATTCTTCCAATCTAAATTGTATTGACAAAAATTAGTCACATAACACTACTCCTTTCCTAAGGCTACCTTATGTCCTTAGCGTTGTCTGGAAGTTGAACACTGAGGGCTCCTCCAAATAATTCCTGTACTTTCGAAGACATGTCAAGTATTCAAAATCAAAGTCGAATGGGGATTAAATATTACTAAAAGCAATTATTGGAGTACCATAGATGAAAATCTTGCACAATCGCATGTTCATGTTGATTTACTTTCAGTTTCACTTTATCTGAGGTCACTTCAACGCTTTAACCAGGGACAATATCACGAGTCATTTTCTTCTGCTTTAATCGTATTTCATAGGTTTCTTTTTCATTTTCCTCCAAATATTCAAAATAAGAGTGAATGTCAAAATTTATCAAATTTGATTGTACTTAATAAATAAATAAATTGTAGGACGGGAATTATAACGAGTTCCATTTAACTTTCTTACATTTACATGTATAAATCAATGCTAAAAGTGACATATAATCCTGAAATCACTTTTATCCCTGTTGAGTATTTAAAAAGTAATACAATCAGCTTTAAATTTTGTTATATTTCCTAATGATTTTTTTCTTTACATCATGTAGAAAATATGAATTATACAGCATTGCAGCATTGGTTTAATGGAAGGTGAAGTTTGTTAGACCTTTTATTTATATGAAAGCAATTTCATTTGAACATTTTTTTCATGATATTGATAGAAAAAAACAATAGGAAGACTGCAGTTTTTCTTCAATTTTATTCATTGTGGAGTAAACATGCACGTATAGACATATACACACAAAAAATGATTTCAGTTTGAGATCAATGCCGATGACAATTAAAGTACAAGTGAATGTAAGTTTTCTGAAAAGGGAAATGAACATATACTCATCAATATCATGAATTTTATCCATTCAAACAGTTAATGTAAGATGTAAAACAAGTACCACTTCTAACATACGTCTAAGTAATGGAGAACTGTATTTCTATGAATCATGTGTGAAAGTCATTTGACAGTCGCACAGTATGTGTGAAATTCGTTTGACAGTCGCACAGTATAAAAAATTGTTGTTAGTTCATATTAAAAATTTTGCTTTTTTTTTTTTTTATCATCCAACAGTATTACATGTATACATGCGTTGTACTTTTAAGTTAGACAAAGTTATCACACTGAAGATAGGGAAAAATAAAGGAAAATATTTGAGAACAAAATTGTAACTGTAAGAGTTTTGAAGTGTTACAATTAATTCACACAGAACTCCAGGATACACCAATAAACAACACCTCACAATATCTTATTCTCATAAATTCATTCATATCATTACAACAATTCAAACACACAGTCTAGCACTCCGTACTCTTTGTGAATCAAAGAGATTAACAATAAATACTTAATGTTATTGAAAAATCTGTATTATAAATAAAAGCAAAACAACAAAAATATAACAAAACAGTGCAAACATTAGGATTAAAGTCTGTAGATTCTAAAATTTTAGCTCATACTGAAAAAAATGTAAATCTGAAGCACATTTTCATGGATTGTAAAGTTTTCCATGGATTTACAGGTCAATTGGGGTGAACTGCACAGCTATTTACATCATAGATTACCCTTCTGCTTTAGGAATATTTATTTAAACAAATACAATGTTTTTACATCAAAAACTGAGCCATGGACAAATTGATTGAAATAATTCTGAATTCTCTAAAAAATTGTCCTTGTAAAAAAAAATATTTGTATGTTCTTAAACATGTAGTGTCTAATCAGCACAGTTAGAAGAAAAATCTTTGAATTTGGAACAAAAATAATTTGATTAACAGTCCACACTTATTCCCTTCTTTGAAATTAAAACAAAGATTTTGATACTCTGTATTAGTCTTTTATAATGTATACAACTGTGATAAACCTGTAGCAAAAACAGGAAACTGTACTAGATGATTTCTATTGACTAATCAAACTCCATCATGTAAAATGATCAACATGAAATGATTCCCAGTTTCTACACGTGGAGTCGTGTCTATAAGTTTTCTATTTTGATGAGCAGTCCGTGTAACAGTACTGATCCTCTCTCCTTCGTGGCCCACTCTAACTCATTGTTTGAGAATTGTGGATCTATTTGTTCATTGAGACCAAGACTCTGAGGTCCTACTTTGTATGAGCCAGGCTTTAACCAAACCTGAAACGCTACACGAACATGGAATGTCCTCTTGGTTCTCGGTTCTAATAACCTGAAAAATATATAATTCATGTAGATAATGGACCTACCTAAATTTACTGTAAAACAGTATTTATTCTGTATTTATTTGTGGTTCTATGACACATGAATATGATTAAAATCATATTGGAATTACTCGTGTACTTTATTTTGATATAATTTCATGAGTATATCCCAGGATTTATATAGAAACTAGAAGTACTAAGCCCACAAATGACCTGGTGGGAGACATGTAAATTTATCGGAGACTTACTTGAACTTGGGTGAGAACTCGTTACATCCTATGTATCGTATGGTGGGAGACATTAGAATTTGTCTGAGACTAGAACTGTCAGGACGGGATTTCTCCGTGAATGGTACAGACTGAGGTAGGAGAGTACTACCTCCTCCCATCTGATCATCTACAAAAACAAAATCTCTCTAACATCAAAAGGGTTACATCAGGTAATTCATATACAGCTGGTAAAACATATCAGATTTTGATAAACAATAACTTGATTAAAAATATTTTTAAAAAATATAACAACACAGATTTATTTAAAAGACAGTATTACTGAAATGCAATAAATTATTCGCTTTTAGTCAAACTATTCATCGTTATTTTTTTTATATTCATACAGATATTAATTTACATAATTTTTCACCAGGATTGTTTGCAATGATTGGTTCAAGCCAGACAAATTAACAGACTGGTTGTGCAGTTGACTTTGTTTTAAATGAATAAACCACTTTCCATTCATTTTTTTCCTTTGCTAACTACATGTATGTAGATAACAATTGTAAATGCTTTTAGGCTTTATAACTGTAGAACTCACTACAGGTGTGAATATCTCCGGTATCCAGGATTTTTCTGAGAACCTCCAGTTGTGTACCATAATACGCCACATGCCACTTGTCAGACGCCACAAAAGACGGGGCTTTCTGGCGTTGTCTACAATTTAGAATAACATTTACCATATGACATTTTTATTCAATGATGTACATGAACTTAATGTATAATGATACTTTCACACAACATGTGTATCTAGTAAACTCAATATTTTGGTTAAGTTTGATGATATAGTGCTACTCACTTGAGAATATATCGGCACCACCCCAGGGGCACCGCGTACTCCCTCGGTGGCTCCCCCCTCCTGAGGTACAGATCCTCCGACCTCAGTTTATGGCAAGACTCGCAGTAACATGTCATCTGCTGTTCCTGGAAAAATCCTTCTGAAATTGGAGTGTAAAGGTAGTTTACAGTCTAAATATCTATCTGAGCCTAATATGAATATTCTCTCTATAGAAAGCTGTAACAGTTTATCTCTGATAACATACTGTTGGAATACTAGACAGGAAATGGTATTTCTGATACAATTGAAGTTTATTAATTAAGACAGAACACCTGTAATTCTCTGTGTGTTACTTACCAGGTATACCCATCAGGCTCCTGACCTTGGAGCAGGTCTTGGCATACTCACACGGCCGAATCACAACGCTACCCAAGATGGTCTCACTTGGACTGTTCTTTTCTTTCATCACTGATTAAAAGAGAATGAAGAAGTCTTACTTTTCTAAGGAAGTGAAACATGGTTTTTATAGTGTTAGAGGCATATGTAACATTTCATTTCCTATTATTCTTGGTTTGTAAACATATACAGTGAAAAATGATGTGTTTTTTTTTTCTTAACACATCTAGTAATCCATCATAAATGATGCCACTTCCCATGCAAGAAATTAAGTCCTTCATTTAAATTTTGATCTACCTTTTTTTCCATGTAAAAGTCCTGCACTTGTAATGATTTGTACTGAATATCTCTTAAACCATTAATAATTAAACTGGATCACTTTATCCAGTTCTCGTTCTTCCCAAGAAATCCCCCACCTTCTTCAATGTCTTCCTTCTCTGCTTTCTCCTTATCTTTATGTTTTGGTTCAGGAGATTCACTGCTGTCCACATTTGGAACTACTGTCACCTGAAACACCAGCATAAAGTTATGAGAAGAATTCCCATGTAATATATACCTGCATGTGTATAAATATATTTTCTTTAAATCTTGTAAGTGCAAATATGAAAAAGATTTAACTGACATTGTGGGAAAATCTTCAAAAGTTTTGTGTCCAAAATACTGTAAATCACTTTTTATTCACGAGAACTTTATTTTCGCGTAATCATGCGAGATGGTATACTCGCGAAAATTTCATTCTCGCGTATAATAGAATTCCTTAAGATTATATAGAGCAATAACCACAATTCGTGAAATTTTTTTCTCGCTAATCTACAGTCAATGACTATCTCGCGAAAATAAGGCGTCGCGAAAATTAAGTAATCTACAGTAGTGAGCTACTGAATCAATGAGTAAACTTGTTCTTAATGGATTTTTTTTTAAACTAGCTGTTCTGCCCTTCTTGCTATTTTACCTTGTCGCATTTCCCATAAAGATCCACCACTCCATAACAGGAGCCCGGTACGTCCCTGGCAGCTACACCCTGATCCACGCCATTGAAAAACAGGTGAAGATTGGACTCTTCATCAACAATTATCCCAATCACATGACCTACTTGTAGCTCATCTAGATTTGGACCATAATTCTCTTTTACCTACAACATCCAAAATGAGACGACTTCTATAAATATAAAAAAAAATTATCAAACAGAAAACATCATCTTTATTTTTGCCTAAAATTAACCTTGTTCTGAAAAATTTTCATCATAACCAGATTTTTATCAAATAAACTGAACAGTCTGACAGAAGATAGAAAGAAAAAACTTCAAATTCAAGATGACTAATTAGCAAAATGAATTTATAATGGAGCCAATCTTAAAATTTATATTTTCTAATGAGCCATCATAAATTTGAAGTTTTTTTTCTTTTTATCTTCTGTCAGACTTACAGTCCTATAAGAGAAAGCTTTCTGAATCTCTCTCTCTACAAAACAGAACTTGCCTTGCACCCCGAGTTGTACACCGCGCTACCCTGGATCATGATACACGACTTCTTTATGGACATGGAGGAAACCGGGAAGGTGTACTTATCTGGAGGGAATCCCAGCACCCCAATCATCAGCGAGAAGCT